GCCCTAGTGAGGGACGAACGCAGCGTGGTTCATGTTCGTCCGACGACCAGGCGGCGACAAGCGACAAAGTGTGTCTAGGACATGACGAGCCGGGATCTGCCTTGTGGTTTTATTTTGGGAGATAATTGGCGATCGTAATTGACATCGAATCAATTAGGCCACGCGAGCCGGCCAGGCTAAAAAGGCATTGGCGGTTCAAGATTCGAGCGCGGGCTTGCTAGTTCTACATCTACTGGAGGGTGAAGGAAGAGACTAAGGGGGAAAAAGGAAGGCATTGGGGCAGGAATGAAAAGGGAAGAGATGACGGCAGTTCTGGGTCTGCAGTAGCTTATCTAGTGGTGCTTTAGTATGCATTAGACCCATGTTGGCCATCTCTGGCTTTACCGGATCGGCTCCCTGGCATGACGGCGGCAGTTCTGACAATTAATCTATTTTCTGAGCTAGTTGGGAGCCTGGCCAGGTCTGTTTGTCTGTCTGACAGGTTGGACCGACTTGCTTGCCTTGATGTCAAGGAGACTTGTCTGCTATGAGGTCTGGCGTGATTCCAAAGGGTGAAAATGTGATCCATGGCAGAAATTGTTGCTGCGAGGAGAGAGTCACTGAAGCATGCAGGTCTCAGTCGGAATAAGCCCTAGTTTCAACCGTGCAGGGCCAGCGCATCTTCTTTTCTCCTATCTTCCTATCTTCCTGCCTTTCTTGCCTCTTCGTATCGAAGGCCGGTGAGGTGTCCTCCGTACCTGAAGCTGCACCTTCGGCGTCAGGCAATGGGGACCTGCAGATACGAAGGCGAAGAGGAAACGGTGAAATTGTGATTTGTAAGAATTAACCTTTTCGTTTCTTTTCTTTTTATTTGCCTCTCAGCCACTGCAGGCTACCTGTCTAGCTAAGCAACAACGTATTGTACTCGCAGAAAGTGGCTTTCCAGAAATGTCCGAATGCCCGAACATCCCGATCAGCGCCAAGAAGGGGGCGAGGAAAAGAAAGGGAAAGAAATCCGCCATGACTATCCGGAGTACTGCATCTCCGTGAAAACCGATGAGACACAGAGATGAAAAAGAAAAAGAAAAAGAGAGGGGCGCCCTTGCGTGCGACCCATCGAAATTGACACGTTTGACGAGTCAGAATACAGGGCCAGCAAAAGTTGATGGGGGTTTCCGGACTCCACCGGTTCATGGTTCCCCTTGTTTTAAGATGATGGAGACACACACAAAAAGGGATTGGGATCCAGTTTTTAACTAAGCGGATACTCTCTTTACTGTAGTTGACTAACTAACTATTTACTGTGCCTGTTCCGAAAGAGACTCCACCAACATGCCCCAGCTGGAGGGACCAAAGCGCTCGTAGAAATCGCCTACGATTTCCGTGACAAATATGTAGGCGGCACGACGACGCAGATCGCGCACCAGAGCAGGCAAATGATGGTTCGGGACTTCCGTGACCATGTAGCCGCAGCGATCGCGAGGATAGGGAAGCTCGCCTAGACGATGTTGTACCTCATTGGTTTGCCAGCGTGCAAATGGCTCCTCACAGACCAGCAGAAGATCTGAGCCTGCATCGGCCATCTCGGGATCTGGGGGGGTGCCTGGGTTGTGAACCACCTGCATCATCGTCATGGTTATTATCATTATTAAAATAGAATAGAATGAATCAACCACGTTGTTCCATGTTTCCTGATTTGTCGGGTGTCAAATGAGACAGCAGAACAGCTGTCAGATTTTTTTTTTCCTTTTATTCATAACCCTCCACCAAGGTAGAGGAAGGGGAGAAAGAGAGAGGGGTAGTGGCTGAACCAAGGAAAACACCACCATCATAATAGTCATAATAATAATAATAATAATAATAACAGTCGTAATAAGAAAGAACAACATAATGCTTACCAATCGATCGCGGAGAAGCCCCGAGCAATTCTTGATGTGACGATGAAGCGCGCGCAAATACTCGGCCTGAGCGGCATTAAAGTGGTTGGGAGTCTCATCGACCATGATGCCACCCACGCCTAAACCCGTCGTGGCATATTCGGCGGCCCAGCTGGCATAGCGATCGATCTCCTCACAGGCCACGGCCAATGGCTTTCGGCAGTAGTCGATGCGGATATAGCCGACCGGATAGACATTAGGGCAGGCATTCAGGCGGGCCACTTCGCGCGCATAGTTGGCATCGGGGCACGGCAAGGCACCCGGTCCACTGTTGGGGTTGACGATCACCAGGAACTCGAGCTCGGGATAGGCAGCAATTCTACACAGTACACACCTCTCTCCATCAGTCACTTTGCGAGGAGAAGAAAATAGAATGTAGGCGATACACCAGAGAGATAGAGAATAGGAAAAAAAAGCAAGCAAACAAGAAAGAAGGTAGGTAGGTAGGTAAACTTTACGCGTCATAAAGTGGATCCCAGGTGGTCGGCGTTAAGGGATAGATATACAAGGGCACGAGCACGCCCGATTTGGGAAGCGTGGTGGTGGTAGTGATGGTGGCCATCGGAGCAAGGCTGGATGGGGAATAGAGGTAGGTGGAAAGAGGTGGGAAGTTGGCTCTGGAAGAGGGAAATTGGGGCAGACAAAACTGGGAAGACAACAACAACAAGAACAAGAGAGAAAGGGGACTAGCGGTGGCCAGGTTTTGTCTTCAGCAATCAACTACCAGTCTTATACGAGATACCATGGCATAAATTCATCTACATGAAGTCGCTAGCCAAGAGAACGGCGTGGACACCGCAGCCCAAGGCAGACACTGTGAATGGGTGGGGGGGAGATTACTGTACACAATAGCATTCGGGTGATATAGTCGAGTTAGCCTCTTAGCTCTTGTTCTGTCTGTGCCTGCCCAGAAGCCGAAAAACCAAGGAAAAAGCAAAGAAGAAAAAGTACCACAACGCCATTCCCGCGCTAAACCATGGACCAAGGCCTGGACGGCGTCTCCAAGCTTTTCCCTTGCAAACCTTCCCCTGCCGGCTGCAGTTGGTGTATCTCACACCAATCACATCCCCGATCGGAAAACCTGACCTGGCCAACTCACCAACGTATCTTGGTCCAAGTGGAGCTTCCACTTTTAGCGCCAGATTCTAGTCGAAGGAAAAAACAAAACCTAGCGTTGTTCGAACTTCCATCGAAAGCGACCGTCCCAGGGTTATCGAATTTTGGTGCGGCGGGAGCCACAGGCGGATCAACCCACCACTCATCATTCAGGTCGGCATCACGTTGCAGATGGTCTCACCCTCCGGATCGAAACTCTCGTAGTAGTCTTCCGTCAACGTGGTCAGGAACAGGTACTCGGCCTTTCGGCTCATCTGGTTGACAAAACTGCGCAACGTGCCGTTGCTGAGATTGTCAGGTACCGAGTGCAGCATATACGCATATGCCGTGCGATTCGACGCCATGGCATTCAGACTGTGCTTTTCCGTGTGAAAATCCTGATAGGAACTCTCAAACACCACTGTGACGTCCGTTGCGTTGTTCTCGTAGCGACTATCCGGAATGGTACCGGGATTGTGGATCACCTAAAGGGCAGATCCGCCAGAAAAAAAGTTAGCCACTGGGATCGTCATAGCAAGAGAATTTTCGGCTCTCTTGCTGCACCCGAACCGCGGTCTCGCTTACCATGCGATCTCGGCGCAATCCCGACGAACTCTTGACGGCCTCGCTGATCGTCTGCATGTACTCAGCCTTTGCTGCCGAGTAGTCATAGGGGGCTTCGTCAAAGAAAATCCCATCCATCGCTAGTGTCAGCGATCGATTTGCCCACCCGGCATAAGTGGCGACATCATCCAGCACAGCGGTGATGTTGCGCGTGGCATAAGCTGTGCGCACATATCCAACCTTGCGTACATTGGAATATGTACTGAGCCGTTCCACTGAGGAGGTATACTCCTCCGAGGGATACGCACTGGAGCCGGGCCCGCTCGAGGGGTTGATGATGACCGTGAAGTTCAGGTCCGGGTGCGTCGTGACCCTGGGACTGTCAGTCACCGTGCGCAATGAAATCGGGGATGCGTGTTTCAGGTTCAACATACGATTCATATAAAGGATCCCATGTACTGTCATTGGTGGGGTAGATGTATAATGGGAATAGAACATTCGTCTTCTCACCACCATGCTTGCGAGTTAATAGGACTGCGCAGGGAACAACAATGACAATAATGATCACCACGGCAATGGCAATGGAAATGGCGATGCACCAAGGTCGCCGGGGGCGCGTGAGATTAGGGCGAGGCATCCATGCGGCAGCCAGTCCGAGCTGGCGAGGGTTAGTTGAGAAGATGGAGTATAGTCTAGCTAAAGACGCAAGCTGAGTTCCGGCCTCTGCCCGACCTAGATAGACAGCGCGCAGGAAATGATATAAACCTGGGGGGAATCCGGCCAAGAGCAAAGTCCCGGACTCGCCGGACTAACGTAGGAACTAGACAGCTGTGATTCGCTCGCCATGTGGCGCGATAACAACCAAGGATGGAGTGCTATTGGGACATAATGGCAATCGAGGCTGTTGACAAGAAGACCGTGCTTTTGAGGTGCATAGAGCGTGGCGAGGACAGCAAAGGCAGCCAGAGCCCCGTATTCGAGTCAGACATGCATAGACCCCCCCACGTTAGCGCCGCTTTTGTGCCCACCAGTCCACTGGGAAGTCCCTGTCGGTTCGAGGGCCCAAAAGAAGGAATGCAGTCAGAGCAGAGAAAAAAGAACGTAACGGGAAAGGGAAACTCCCGCTATGCTTGGTGCTGGCTGCTAAACTAACGCCTGCTCTGCTGGCTGGCGCTAGACCCTTTAATCACATTTGATTTTTTTTTGTCTTTTTCTTTGGGTCAGCGGTAGGTTCCAGAGATACATGCATCTGCTATAAATAGTTATATTAAATGAAGAGATGGCGCCTCCCTTGGCGGCTTGAAAGGGAGCTTGACTTGAGTGGTCAGCGATTCTTATCGCCCTAGATAATAATAATCACTTAGGTACCCCGTCCACAGTCGGGTCAAGCAGCAGTGTTGAGTGTTCGACAAGCTGCCTGCCACCATGGGACTGGAATACCTGGGTCTGGATGCCGTGGGATGGCATCGAATGACCACAACATGGTGGGATAAGGTACTTATGAATTTTCTTCTGAGAAAAAGAAAACAAATCCCTTGTCTCCCGTCCTTCTTCTGACTGTCGCAACATTTAGGTGATAGCAGCATGTTTATTAACGACTATTGTTCTTGGTGCTGTATTCGTTTTGAGCTTTATAGCTCGAAAGATCTACAGAGTCTGGCAGGTATGTTGTGCTGTCCTTCATCTCGTTTATCGCCGTGAGGAATGCGCTGACGATTGGCTTTTGCGGTGGGAGTTTAGAGGCGGCATCAACTCTCCGTGGTCCCAACGGCCATTGCCCGTTATTTGGACCAACTCAAAACAAACAATGCCCCCCTTGCGTCGGAGAAACCGCCCGCGAAGGAGCTTAAATCGTTTGGTGTTTTTCTCGGCGGGTTTTCTAATCCTCCGACACCTGCCGAATCTCAATTGCTATCGCAATGGGATATTCTCGTCGTAGATCCCCTCCAACCTGGGGTTTTGGATGCGCTTACGGGTCACTGCACGTCATCGCACATTCTTACGCGCCTTGACGTCCGAAGTCTAGTGCGCTCTGATGCCTGTCGCAACAATGATGAAGCCCTCCAAGCTCTGGAAACGGTTGTCCAGACGCTATCCAGTACTATCAAGCGCGACCAGAGCAGCACATCGCCCTTCCACGGGGTACTCTTGGCCGACTGCCACGCGCATTTCCAACCAGTGATCTTAAATGAATTGGTCAAGTACATGAACCACCTTGGGCTAGCCGTATGGCTGGAATTGGCGCCACCGGCCTACCTCAGTGAGAAGCAAGGCCGGGCCATCAACATGCAGCAAATTCGTGGCGTGGTTTATAGAAATGGTACGATCTTGCAAAATGGAGACAGGCGCAATTACTTCCAGATGGCCGAGATGCGTACTGCCATGCGGGCCGTGGCATCCCAGAAAGCTGTTGGCGACTCGGCTATTGCTATGTGGGATACGATTGACGACAACGTCGAACTCACGCATCATGTTCTCGGACGCAGCTTCAAGTGGTGCAACTACAACAGTGCTCTGTGTTGGATCGCACCCCAGTCTGCGCTAACGAATGCGGATATTGCCGTCACAAGAACAGTGACACAGGAGCCCCTGGGGGCTATGATGTGGCTGAAGCGCGGCGAAGTTTTGGAAGCGCATGACGTTTGGAGGCTGAATGACAAGGTAAGAGCCCTTACGTGAACTCGTGGTAAGTGAGCCCGACATGGAAGCTGACTATTCACAGATCCGCCAAACGCCGTGCGGATATGACGAAACGTACGAATCGTTGGAGTCCTTTGTCCCGGACCTGAAGGCAAAGCTTGCGCTGTCGCCTCCAGTAAAATCTCGACAGTCCGATAGTGCAGGCACTGCGATCGAGGGACTCGAATGGTCTGGAAGAACCGAAAGTTCACAAACAGATATTCTGTCTGTTTCCCCTGCTGGAGCGAGCTATACCGGACTCGCATGCTTTCAGATTGGTCTGGATTGCACATCCAAGGATGTCACGGACCTCGTCGAAGGCCAAAGACAAGTTAGAGACCTCGATCTGCTTCAACGCCTCAATGCAGAAGATCTTCGCCAAGTAACCGAGCCATTGCGCGCCTTGCTGAAGGCACAGAACTCGCACACCTATCTTTCGTCGGAACTGCAGTCAATTAAGGACTTGGTTGACCTCCTCTCGGTTTGCAGGGGTGACGACAATGACCGTCTTCGAATTTACGTCGGCTTGCATTCGGGCTTCCGCACTCGTCTTGGAAGTCAGATTTGGGGCCTGCACGATCTCGATTCAAGCATGGGCGTGCTAAACATTTATCTGTCGGGAAAGACACAAGATCGCACCGGAACCATTCTCCACACGTACCTGGCCAACAGAGGGTTCAGCCGCTCTCGCTGCTTCTTGGCAGAGATGGCCTTGGCCGCAGAGAACCAGACCCTATCGGAAACGTGGGGGTTGCCTAAGCGCATGGTGGATGATATCGAACAGCTTACCCCGGCAGAGACTTTGGCTTGGCTGCGACGACTGGCCTTATCAAGCCATGATGACCCGATGAAAATGTCTGCCAAACTTCGCGCCTGTGGTGAATATCAACTTCTGGAAGCCCCAACCCTCGCACAACTCCGTGCTCAGTGCTCAAGTGAGTATCTAGATGGAGAGATCTCGGCAGCGGAGCTGGTCTCCTCACGCCTCGCGTGGCTCAGGGAACAGGGCTGTTGGTGTCCTGATGCCTCGGCTGCCGAAGCGCTGTTTCTCGAGATTGATGCTCGGTTGCCAGCTCTTCTTATGAACGGAGAGGCAGAAGTTCTCGACAAATTAGCCACAGTATTCGAATCCATTCTTCAGAAGGGCACTATCGACGCGGGTGCCGATCTTCTAGCTCTGAGCGTGTTTTGTGCCTTCCGTCGGCTTGCTCTGAACGAGATATACCTAGAAGTCCTTGACCGCAACCCCCTACCGAATCTCGAGCCCGTGCAAGCAGCATGTTTTGCTGAGATGTATGCCTGTGGTGCCCGCACGGACATGTACTTTGATATGACACCGAAACGCATGGGTAAAATCATCTGGCGTTGGTACCGCGCATATTATCACGAGCACCAGCCACCTCAACGAGAGGAGATTTTCACTGAGCTGCCGACGGCGTATGCCTCCATGAATGTGGATCTGGACCCAGAAGGGGAAAAGGACACTGCATCGTGGCACTATCGACTCACATTCCTGGGAATCTTTGCTGTACCTGCACTCATTGATATTAGGGTTTTATTATTATTAGGGTTTTATTAGGGTTTTAGGGTTTTAGGGTTT